CACGAAAAGAATGAAATTGAAGTCGTCGAGCAGGATGTGTTCATTGGCAAAGAAAAAATGACAATACACAAACCCCAGCCCATCCTTGATTACAACCACAAAATGGGTGGGGTTGACACTGTGGATCAGATGACCAGGTATTATATGTGTAGACATCGAACAAACAGGTGGAACATCAGGGCTTTATATGATATGATTGATATAGCTGCCTTAAACGCGGATAAAACGTACTCAAATTACCACCCTTGCAAACGAGTGGATTTTTTGAACAATCTTTCTGGTGCTTTAATGAAAATGAAATGATTTTTCTATTTTGTTTGGTTTTTTATAAAGTAGGAACTGTTTATTTCATTCAATACGTGCTTTTTTATTGAACCTCGAAAAAAATTATCGTGAAATAAAATAAAAATAGGGGTCATTATACCATTTTTTTTCTTTTTTACTTATGGATAAGTTTTTAAAAACTTGTGTTATAACAACATCGTGATGTCGTTACTCAACACCATAAACAACCGTTGGTAAAGTATATGCATGAGTATTATGGTGATAATGGTGTTATAATGGTGTTTGTTGATAATTCTATCAAATTGTAAATTTATTATTACAAAACTATAATTTATTAAATTTCCATTTTAATAAATAATATTTTTTATTATATAATATAGTTCAAAATATTTTTTTTATTATTTGTTAAGTTTTTTGCTATTTGTTTTTATGTTCATAATTTCTATTATCCCTTTATTTTTAATTTAAATTATGTGTTTGTTGCCCAAAAATGCATAATTTAAAAATGCATAAACAGTGGCTGCAAAATAAGCATTTGATTACCATATACAATAACATTTATATGAAAATGATAATATTAAACCAAATTTGCCCTTTGTTTTTTGTTTGAAAATGATAAAAAAAGAATTACAAATAATGTAATCATATCTTGCTTCCTCAAGAGTGGCACGACATGAATTTTAACTAACAACCACAAAAGATCATGGTGATCAAAGTTTATTTAAATACAACTATTTGTATTGTTAAAGTTGATTTTATAAATTTTTCTCGATTTTGCGATTTTTGATGCTTTTAAAAATGTACTTTAGTTATTTTTTGTTTTTACGTTTTTTTTTCTTAGATTTTTTTTGAAAGTCGGAACAAACAAAAAAGTCTTTATGTTTTATCTATTTGTATTATAGAAAAAATAGTAAAATCCAATTTTTACATTTTTGTATTTTTCAAAGTTTACAAAAAAATCAATTTATTTTCCCTTGTTATAGTTTTTGAGATTAATTACATATTGAAATTTCAATACACCTCAAAGTCTGTTATTTATTTTATTTTCTTTGTTATTTCATGATGTAATTGATTTTGATCATTTCGAACCAGTATGTTTTACGATACAGTTATCTATTTGTTATATTTTATACTTAATTTTATTATTATATTTATAAGTTGTGGTCATCTCAATAAATGTTTGATCTGACTTTTCCATCAAACTGTGACTTGTTTCTGAAAGGATCAAGCAAAAAAGTGAACCTTTGTTCATCCCAACTTAAACAAAAGGTTCACTTTTTTACTATAATTTATAAAAATTTACTATAAAAATTTACTAGAGCCGTCGTTTCAGGGTGTCTAGCTTTTTTTGAAAAAAATTTAAGAAAAAAGGTCACATTTACATTACAATTGACTAAGATTTTTATTTTTACAAATTTTGATTTTTCCCGTCTTTTAAGGGTTGAAAATGGTTTTTTTTAATAATTTTGAAATTGTTGGGTTAAAAAATCTACTCGTTTTTAAATAAAATTTACTTCCATTAAAAATATACCTATTGGTGGCTTTGTTAATAATTATCAATGGTCAAATCCATAAAAACATTTTTTTCATTTAATCTTTTGCTATTAAACTATACAAATTAAATTTCACTCACAACTACACTTT